TTTTGATTGAATGCTTGACATTGCACATAAAAAATTAGAAGGTTTGACAATATCTTCCATTTGTGAGCATTTGTGGCTCACTACAGGGTCCTTGTGATCCCAGACCACCCAATTTGCAGGGGGACTAGACGGTGTGAGGTTGTTACTCCATGTGCTCCCTGACACCTGGTTCACTGTGATCCACTCTCATTTCTCACGTCTGCACAGAGTCTTGGGGAGTTACTGGGATTTCCCTCCCTATGCTCTGCATCTGTTGAAAGCTACTTAAAGGGAGATGTGGCTCCCACACTGTGGTGTCTCCTTCCTGTGTTCTGTGCCTCCATCCCCATGGCGGTATAATTATCGCTGTGGTCCAAGCTCTCTAAGGCCTCCAAAAAGACATTTTCATATTTTGTAGGGGTTTTCTAGTTGATCTCACCAGAAAAGTTAACCCCAGCAACAAATTCTGCTATTATCAAGAATAAAAATATGATTTATGCTGTAATAAAATCCCTAATGCAAGAATTATCATAGACAAAGCGAGGACCAAGATGGTAAGAAATAATATACCTGAAATTTTAATTCTTTATACATTATCATTTGACTTTGGACAATACCAAATGTACCTTCATTCCTTGCCCTCCTACAGGAGTTATATCCTTATTTTTACTGTTTTACACCAAAATTCTAAATTTTAAATAATATACTAGCACCTGTTCTGTATTTTTATTTATAGTATAGTGAGCTGTATTGATTCTCTGCTTTTATTTTGCTTTTTAAAATTTTTTATTGTTTTCATTTTTTTTCAAAACACAACAAGGATACATACATACACTGTGCACTGTCATCCCCAAATCATTCACCCAGAGCACAGGACATCTGCATTCAAATGTCCAAACAATATCAGCACAAATCTTTCTTTCTCTTCAGTGAACTAGATTCTCTGCCTTTTGTTTAGCTTTTCTCTTCCAATTTTACTCTTTTCTGGAGTCTAAAGATTTTTTTTTTGAATTGTCTATTCTGATAACATGTATATTTTTCCAAAAACAAAGAGGTCTGTGATAATCTTTTTTCTTATGGTTCTGAGGATTGAACCTAGTGCCCATGCACTGAACTGTATCCCAAGCCTTTTTCTTTTTTTCTTTTTTTTGGTCTTTTTTCTTTTTATTGGTACTGGGGATCAAACTCACGACTGCCTGCTTGCAAGGCAGGCGCTTATGCCACTGAGCTAAATCCCCAGCCCCTCTTTTTTTTTGGAAACGGGCTTTTACTGAGTCGGTTGCTCAGGCTGGGCTTGAACTTGTGGTCCTTCTGCCTCAGCCTCCCAGAGTGCTGGGATGACAGGTATGTGCCAGCATGCCCAGATGAAAATTCTTTTATTCCTCAGAATTTTGTCCCTTTTGTCTTATCATCTGGAATTTTTAGTGCTCATATATTAAACCTCTTGGATTATATTTGGTGGACATTTTTTCTTATGTGATTTCTTTACCCTCTTGTTCATTTTATTGGATATTTCCATAATTTGTTTTCTTACTGTTGTATATATTTTTATGTAATATACATTATATAAATTAGGTAGACACTTAGCTTTAGTTTTGTTTTTCAAGGAAGCTCCCATTTTCATAATATCCTATTAATGTACAGTGCATGAGTTCTTAAAAATCTCTCTGAACAGATTATTTATATATATATATATATATATTTTTGAAGTTGTCTTTCCTGAATTATTTCCTTCAGAATCATTTTTCTCATTATCATTTTCACTTTTGCTTATCACTTTTCTTGAGTCAAGGTCTAGCCAAGTAGTTCAGGCTGACTTGCACTAACTGTGCAGCCCAGGCTGCCTCAAATTCATCATGATCCTCTGTTTCAGCCTCTTTATGGGTGAGATTACAAGCATGTGGCACTATGCCCAGCTCATTTTGACTTTTCATGCTCTTTACTTTCATGTTGAATCTTTTCCTCAGTATCAAGTAGTCTTATATTTACATTTAAGAATTAATCAGTCATTTTATTTAGATTCTGGTTAGAATTCTTTAAAAACCCACTTTAAATATGGAGAAAATCAGGAAGTTTCAAAATTCACTGATGGCGGGAGGGGAGAGAGAGTGATTGGGGAGGGGGTACAAAAAATAATGAAGGGGCTGGGGATATAGCTCAGCAGCATAAGCACCTGTCTTGCAAGCAGGCGCTCATGAGTTCAATCCCTGTTACCAATGAAAAGGAAAAAGAAAAAAAAAAATGAAGGTGTATTATGTTCATGTACCAACTCCTCATGATGAATATAATCATTATTACAGCAAATATGTACTAATAGAAATAAAAATTTAAAAAAGGAACAAAAAGGATCACTAGGATGATAATGGGTGTTGCTATGTCCACATGTGTATGTGGGTGTGCTTTTTAAAATTTTTGTAGTACTGGGCATTGAACGCAGGGCCTCATTTATGATAGGTGAGTGCTCTACTCTTGAGTAGCTGTGTTTTATAGGGGGCATCTTTTAGCAGTGCAAACCAAAATACTTAAAGTGACGTGATGTAATATCTGGGGTTTGCTTCGGTTCTGTATGTGCAAAGGGAATGCAGTGGGATGCAGAATTGGCTGTACTGACAGTAGGAGTTGTGAGGTGGCATTTGGTGATTCATTGTATTCTCTCCACTTTTGTGCCTTCTTGAAAATGTCTGTAACAAAAGGTAGGAAAAGGAAGAGACAGAGATCTGGGCCCAGCTCAGGCCTCCTGCCCCAGGGTCTCTTCCAGCCATCTACCACCCCACCCACAATGTCAGGGTGACTGGTTCCCCTCCCGGAGCCAGGAGAGCCCATGTCTGTACACTGAAACCCAGGCCTGAATCTGCTTCCAGGAATCTTTTGGAACTGGTTGATGGCATCTCTCCCATTCTCTTTGTCGTAGATTTATATATGCACATATTTTAATGTTACTATCCTTGTAGTGGAGTGTCTGAGGGGAGGAGACATGTCATCCTCCTTTCATCATCTTTTTGGAAGTTCCATAAAGATATTTTTAAACAATTGCAAATGACTGCATTGAACAGCCTTACTGGTGTCTTTCCTGGTTGAGAAATAGGATCCAGCAGGTATAAGAGGTGGCACTGACAGGCATGTCCCTCACTCTGACTCATACAGTGTCTGCTGCCTGGCGTGGGCCTGGGAGAAGTGGTGCAGCCCCTCCCACCTCCCACTTCCCACCTTGGGGCCTGGGCCTTGAGCTGATGCATCACAGTGAGTGAGAGGTGCTGCTCTCATCAGTGTGTCCACACCCACAGGATGATGACCAGCTGGCAGACAGGCCCAGGAGGCAGCCTGTCACTGTCAGGTTTTCCAAATGTCCCTGGTGCACAGCCTCACCATGCCTTTCAGAAGAACGACTCATTTAAAATGTAGGATACTCCTAGAATTTGCCCTATAATCTTTGGAGACCCCAGTCTATGGCGTGTGACTGAATGTTGAAACCGAGCTGGGACTGAAGTGGGAGGGTTTTCTATAGGTCAAGGATATCACCCCCTTGTCAGTATTAGAGACCTCATCCTCCCAATACAGGACAGTGGTATTATCCACCTGGCAAGGATATCACATTGCTATCTGGGGCAAGGGCATTGCCTTCCTGACCCACTGAACCTGGGAAAACTCGTGGCAGAGTGAGATGATCTCCCCGGCATGAGGAATGACACTGAGGCATGGTGTAGAGGGGAAGTCCTGGCACTGGAAGGCCCTGGCTGGGGGTCCTGAGGTCAGAAGGAAATGAAGGGAGGAGGAGGGATGGTCATGAGGGACCTCAAGCTCATGAGTGGCTCATGAACTTGGTGGGTCTCTTCGGGGCTTGTGCTGGCTGTTACTACTCTGAGCTCCATACCTTCCTGCAGGAAAGAGGCTCAGGGTGTTGGGCTTCTTCAGCTGAACCTCCCTAGGGTTGAGGAGGGTGCTGATTCACTGAGGCAAGGTAAGGCTCCTATAGAAGGAGAGGGAGGGACCTTGACCCCAGGCAGGAGATGGAAGCACAGGACCTGGGGCAGGGATCAGCTTTGCAGCCTTGTGCTCTTCCTCACAGATTGGGGCTCCAGCCCCCAATGCCTACTGTGACTTCCTGGCTCTGTGTGAATCTCCCATAACCCCCGTAGAGGTCTAGGACACAGACACCTGTCCCCTCACAGTGCTGGACCTGACATCTGAGAACATGGTGCCTATGGTCTGCATCCCGTCAAGACTACAGGGAGCATCCTTTTCCCCCTTCTAGCTTCTGGTCACTCCAAGCACCCTTTGTTTTGTGGATCCATCACTCTGATCTCTGCCTAGGTCTTCATGGACTCTTCTCTCTGTCTCCACTCCTGTGTGCTGTAAAGGACTCTGGTTGGATTTAGAGCCAGTCAGATCCTTTGTGATCTCTCTCCATCCTTAACCTCGGTCGTGTCTGTGGAGACCTGCTTCCAGACAAGGCCCTGTTGTGTTCCAGACATCCATGATTTTGAGGGTACTGTCCAGTGTGACACTGGGGGATGAGTTTTAGAGGGGTGATTGAATGTTTCACCTGGAGGAAGTGAGTGGGGAGCTACCTGTCAGAACTTCACATGCAAAGGCCCCAGGACAGGAGCGGGAATGGCTGGAGAGGCTTCAGCAACATGAAGCATCCATAGGTATCCTGAAAGTCTTCTGTGATCTGGATACCAGAGAACAGGAGGAGCAGAGCCTCTTGTGGTGACCTCAGGTCCTGAGAACCCACCCAGCAAACTGAGAAATAAGTGCTGGTTAACCTGAAAATAGCCTGAAGGTGATCTGGGGTGGGTGTTCTGGCAGAGTTGTCCAGTAAGGAGAAGATGGGCTTAGAGAGGCCCTTGATGTCCAGGGCAGAGGGAGGAGGATCTGGAAGGTATGGTGGTGACCAGGAGCTTGCAAGATGTGCTGGATCCTCTTGCCTTGCCCAGGAGGGCTGGAGGTTTGTCCTGCTGGCTTGACTATGTCCTGATGGTCACTGACTCACCTCTTCCTATTTCCTTCTCTCAATACAGGAAGAAAACCGGCAGATTCTGGCCCGGCAGAAGTCAAACTCACAGTCCGACTCCCATGATGAGGAGGTGTCGCCAACCCCTCCCAATCCTGTGGTGAAGGCCCGGCGCCGGCGAGGGGGTGTGAGCGCTGAGGTCTACACAGAGGAGGATGCAGTCTCCTACGTTAGAAAGGCAAGGGCCTGGCTGGTTCACATGCATCAGATTCCCCGACACCCCTAGGGGCCCCTGTCACCCCTGGGACCTCCACTTCCCTTCAGGTCAGAGATAGGAGCCACACAGGATGGGAGATGCTGACACAGTGGGATAGGGGTCACTGTTGTCTCTGAGCTGAGTGTGTATTATGGGAGGGGCTTTGGTGTGTGTGAGTGTGGGGCTCTGCAACCTCAGGTGGCTGTAGATTCTAATAGGCTCAGGGAGGGGGCAAAGTCCCCCTGACCCAACACTGGAGGTCAAATGGGGTGTAGTTCTGATCTCCTGCAAGCTCTCTAGTCTCCTAATCCTGGAAGATCCATGTCCCACCTTGCATCTCCCACACAGGTGGTTAGGACTTCAGTACAAGGATTAGGGGCACAGTTCTGCCGACCACCCATCCTGATCATCTTCTGCTGTCCAGTTCATCAACATATGCGCCTTCATAGAACTGTTACCCTCGCCACCACCCACCTTCGAGACCTCCGTCATCTTGCAAATTAGAACTCTGTACCTTTACTCCTCCTATCCTGTTCCTAGTGCTTTTATGATCTGATGATAAAACTGAAAGTATTATTTAGAATTCATTAGCGCTCTTTACCTCCATAGTGTCCCTTCTGCAGACCCAGCCCTGTTAGGTGAGTATAAGGAAAACCTCAGCATACCCAAGCAAGGGACGTTGTGCATGGTATGACCAGTGCTCTGTGTGGACATAGATATCAAAAAATAAGCCCTTGAAAGCCAGGGAAGGCTAAGAAGTAGCCCAAGCCAGAGGAACCAATAAGCATGATGGCTAATTTGACTTGACAGGGTCCTAGATAGGGCAAGGCCCCTGGGGAAAATAAGAGATCAGAGTGTGGGTTCGGTTGCTGAGCTGAGGGACACCAACAGAAGGGACGGCCTTATAGCTCCTTAAACAGAAACTTCTAAAGCCTGCTAGGGTTGGAGTGGTATCTCAGGGACTCTGTTGTGGGGTCTGTGGTGGAACTGTTTTGCACACATATGCAGAGACTGATGTCACAGCTACTGCAGTGGAGCCCCCTGGGGGCCCTGAGTGTGGCCCATAGCCTGACAGCACCACATTTGGATGGCAGGGTACTATGGGGAGTTGGGTGCTTATATTTTTCTATCACTTAGGGACCTCAACTTAGACTTCTGAATCTAAGACTCCCTCTGGGTCCACCCACTGTCCCGGCCCAGACCACTAATCCAGCCCTTGCCAGGGAGCCTCACCCACCCCGTTGACCCCCAGCCCACGTTGACTCCTTCTCTGTCCTTACCTCTTCCTCACTTTGTCCCTGTCCCCGTGGGTGTGGTCCCAAGCCCCACATGCCTATTTTTTTTTCCAGCTTTCAATTTTAAACAATTGCTAATTACTTCTTTTAAAAGCTAGTAAAATAAATAAATGAAGCAAAGACAATAAGCCCAGGGCCTGGCTGTCTTTCAGACTTTCTAGGTAGCTCTGAAGCCCAGCAGAGCCATCAACGGAGGTTTTAGATGGTGCCCACATTTGCCTTAGGTCACTCTAGTTTCCTCCTCTTCTATTTTAAAATTTAATCCTGAAATACACATAAAATCACACCCCATGCTTTTTTTTAGCAGGCTGGATACCAGTACCACACAGAAGGCTGAATGCTTGATTTTAAGCCACACTGTGGTCCCCAGAGTTAAGTGGGCATCTGAGAGTCAGTTCTGTCCCTGATCCTATGTTCTGCCCTTTCCAACATGCAGTCTGATTTTCCTTGGCTCCCACAGGTCATTCCCAAGGACTATAAGACCATGACTGCACTGGCCAAGGCCATTTCCAAGAACGTGCTGTTTGCCCACCTGGATGACAATGAGAGAAGGTAGGATGGCATAGTGCGGGGTCCTCTCTATCCAGGTAGCATCACACCTCTCCCGGGCTGTCACAGGGACACAGGGCTTGCGGAATGGTATGTCACCACTTCCTGGAGCTGTGGCCTCATAGGGCAGGTGGCTTTCAGAAGGTCTGTGCTGTACGTACACCTGTTTACAACAGGCATCCCAGCCTCTGCTCCCTCACATACTGGGAGTGGATATGAAGCTCCCCTGCTGTGCCTTCTTTTGCTCTGATCACATGGGCTGAATGTTCTGGTATCTTCCTCCCACTGTTACACAGAGTGCGTGCCTGTTCTTACTGCTCAGTGCCCTCGGCCAGCAGCAGGGAGCCTGAGTGTCCATCGGCAGGCAGCAGGTTGGTTATTCCTGGGGACCCGAGGGCTGAGAAGAGCTCCGGTGTCCTGCCTGGGATGGTGGTCATGTCGGTGATTGGAAAGACTCGGAAATGATAAAGTGGAGGGTGAAAGTATTCCTTGTCACTAAGTCCCAGATATAATGCTGGGGATGCTTGAGGGCGATCCTTGAGGATGTTAACTCCGTTGGTCCTCACGGAATGGATCTCATTCCACACTGTCACATTACCTACCCTAAATATCTCTATCAGAAAACATTTTTAGTGTCTTTTTTGCTTCCTATCAATTTCTATGGAGTTGCAGCTCAGCTACTGTAGCTATTTGCTTTTTAAATTATGTATTAGAAACATACACTTGATATCTATCGCTGCGTGGTTGTTGTGACTTCTATCTACTTCTTTCTATAGGATAACTTTCTCAGTGCAAACCAGGTGTGGTGATACACACCTGTATTCCCAGGACTCTGGGAGGCTGAGGCAGGAGGATAGCAAGTTTGAACCCAGTCTGGGCAACTTTGTGAGATCCTGTCTCAAAATATAGAATAAAGGGCTGAGGTGTAGTTCAGTGGTAGAACTCTTGCTTAGTCTGTGCAAGTCTGTGTTCAGTCCCTACTACAAACAAAGATCTGTACTGGCTGTGTGTATACAAGTATTGAAAGGTCATTAATACATTTTGTTGGCTCCCACTGGGAAGAGCTGGAGGGGCAGCTCAGAGGATCTGTGCTTAGAGGTGACATCCTGACCACCCACTTTGCCTCCACCGTTGTGGGACAGGCAGTCTATATCTGGGTGCCCAGGTCAAGTAGCAGCTGGTGTAGGCTATGTAGGGTCATGTGTGTGAACAGCCCTGGTCATGTCTGTGCCACTAGGGACCCCAGGCAGGCCTCATGTGGAGCGGGACTGAGGCCAAGGTTTAGGACAGCTGGAAGCACTGTGTGCAGGGATGCTCAGGTGATTCCCATAGTGCAGCCTGTTTCCCTTCAGCTGAGGTGACTTTCTGCACACCCCAAGATAATGGGTGCTCTGACCTTACTTCATATTCAAAGAAGACAGCAGTATTGCTTCTCTGGTTACTGGGAAGACCTGAGCTAGGTGGTGTCCTGAGCTGCTCTGCATGTGGAGGAGAACTTGGGCTCAGGTTTAACATTTGTTCTCTAGCCAGGTCCACTTAATGTGGGCCCACTGGTGAATTTCCATCCTCAAGGGCACCTCAAGGTCCTAGTGACGGGTAATGGGGAAAGACCCTCCGAAGATATAAATGAGCTGGTCCCCAGGACTTGGGGGTTTCCTCCTGTGACACAGTAGGACTTTGCACATGTAACTAAGTAGAGGTACTGGGTTGCCTGGTGTGTCTAAATGCCGCCATGCACATCCTTCTGAGAGGGAGGTGGAGGGAGCTGTGTGACCAGAGTCAGAGACCAAGTACTGTGGCCGCCAGTGAAAGGACACTTGGAGCCATGAGGGGCTGGGAGACAGGGGAAGGGAGCCACTCACATCTGGATTTCTACCTGGTCATTCTGACCTTGGACTTTGGCCTCCAAAGCTGTGGAGAGAATAAACTTCTGTTGCTTTAAGCTTGGTTCATGGCACTTGGATATAGAAGCCCTGGGAGTCTCATGTCCACCTGACAATGATATCTTCTTGGGGAGGCAGCCTGAGGGAACCAGAGGGAACCAGGTGACTGAAGTGTTGTATCTATTTTAATGTGAATCCGAACATCAATTTACAGTGTAATTTAAGTGCAGATTTTGAATGAGTGATGCATTTACAGGATTAAAATTTCAGAAGATACAAAGGGGTCCATCTGGACCTTGCTGCAGGCCACTTGTTCGACCCTGGCTGAATCTTACCAGCCCCTCAGCAGTGCCCTTCTACAGATAGACACTCCCTGTCCATAGGCAGGAGGCCACCTGGTCCACATGGGTGATCACCACACAGTTTGAAATCTTTGGGGACAGGGCAGTGAATGACCAACCTGGGTCCCTTCTGGCCTGGCTAACTCAAATTCTTTTGGGGTGAGTGGAAAGTGTCACCTTTGGGTGGACTAGAAGCTGGGGGCACATCCTGATTTCAGCAGGCCTGGCCTCGTTGGCTGCAGTCAGCAAGCCCTGCCTGTGCAGCCATTTATAGCCAGGAGGCAGGTCTCTGAGAGCCTAGAATTGTGGGGAGGGAGGTCTCTGCATCCTGGAACCAGGTGGCAAGAAGCAGAGGAAGCAGATGGCTGGATTAAAGACTGTGCTTTGCAGGACTGGCCAGGGAAAGGAAGCGCCGGGGCGTGTGTCTGTTTTGGGCCTTTGTTTTGCACAGAGGAAAACTCAGTTTCCATATTGACACATTGGGCTCCTTTTTCTGGCCATGGTCTAAAGGAATCGGTGGATGGCTCAGGAAAGGGTTCCAGAGGGCGCGGGCGGAGGCATTGTCTCTTGACCTTTCATGTGATGTGCCTCTCCACCCACCACCCCCAGTGCAGCATCCAGATACTTTGCTTTTTCCAGCTTACTAGAAGCTGGGTTGAACAGCTTTGTCTGGGCTGGGCTGTGGTTTGGCCTGTACTGCAAAGTTCTTTCCAAGTTCGCCGGTGTCTGGCACGCCCTGACCTTGGGGCAGCCTGCGGCTCCTCTGACTCCTCCACTTCCCCACGTGGGCAGAAGAGAGCAGAGCACTCTTTGCAGAGGGATCCGCCTGTGGGGTGAGTGTTCTCTCGCCTGTCCCCTTTTCTAAATTCAGACTTAAGAGAAGCCTGTTTCCTTAGGGTCGGTGAATGTGCCCACATCAACTTGTAATGGTGTCTGTGTTGTGCCTGAAATACTCAAAGATTATATCGAATTAAACCTTTTTATTTAAAGGAACTTTTTATTTAACGCAGCATGGTTATGGGGGGAAGCTGGCTCCCCGAGCTGTCTGCTGTCTTATCAGGGACAGGGTAATTCTAGTCAGCCCATACTGGAGGTTGTCTGTGGGCCTTTGCTTGGTGCCCTGAGAGGAGTATAGTGTGAGTCTCTGGCCTCAGTTTCTTCCCCTGTCTCTTGCCAAGACTACACATGCATCTGAAGCTATGTGTGCGGTCTCCAAGTCCTGGGGTGAAGTGTAGCTGCAAAGAGCCAGCTGTGGGGTGTTAGGGTGAGATTGAAGACCCAGAGAAGCATGAACACACACACACACACACACACACACACACACACACACACCCACACACACAGTCTCACCAGACACCACAATTTAGAATGCGTTAAGACATCTTTTGAGAGAGCCATGCAGTGTTATTTACAAGACAAAATTAGTCTGACCTTTTCTGGGCCTCATTTTCTGGAGATGTCAAATGAGGTGTTGATGCCTGCTTGGAGGGCGGTCATGCAAATGTGATGCAGTAATGTCCATGTGTTTGATTTCATCACCATCATCATAGTGGTTACCATCACTGTCATGGTTACTGGTCCTGTTGTGACCATTCCTGTCACCATCAGTCATCACCATCCATCACTATCAGCACCATTATTGCATTACCATCACCATTATCATCACCATTGCCACCATTGTCATTACATTACCACCACTGTCGTCAGTGCTGTTGTCACCACCATCACCACCATCCTCATCATCACTGCCGTTACTACTGTTCTCATCACAGTCATCACCACCATCGTCGCCATCCTCATCCCTGTCATCACCTTCATCATCACCGCCATCACCATCACTACCACTGTCATCTTTCTGGTAGCCCTGTGTCTGGGTGGCCGAGTGTACTCATCAGCGGGCTTTTCACTAGGTGGTGCTTTGCCCCTCACAGGCCAGCTTAGCTATCCAGCAGACTCCGCTATTTCTTGATTCTCGGTCTGAAGATTCTCTGTTCTGGCCTGGGTCCGAGTTAGCAGATGGGCTATACTGGGCTTCGGGACACCCCAAGTTGGAAGGAAGACTCCTGGGCAGCTACCTTGCCCCACTTTAGTGTGCCAGAGACAGCTCTGAGGGCCAGTGAGGGTTAGGCCTGCAGCTGGGACTGAGTAGGGAGTCCTTGTGCCCCAGGCTGACCCCTCTGCCACCCCTGCACAGCAGCAGTTGCTGTGTGAGGCCCCAGGGATGAGTGGCAGGTGCAGCCTCCAGCTGCCTGTTGCTGTTGGCAGCAGAGCAGATCCTCACCTCCTTGTGAGATGAGGCAGTTACTTCTTGGCCAGGGACCCCAGAGCCTCAGCAGGGACCCTGGGAAGTTCAGGAGCCCTTGGGTGTGCTGAGACCATCAAGACCTGGCCCAGGAGGGAGGTGGAGGCCCTGGGGCGGCTCCTAGTGCCTTCTGGGCTGCCTGATTAGGGTGTCTTGAGAGGGAGCGTGGCTGAGCCCCTGGGGTGATTAGGTGGCCCAGTCACACAGGGCCCTGCTGTGGCCTCATTACTAGAGCTGCCAGCTGTGCGGGCTTGCTAAGTGAGGGCATCTCACCCTGGGGCGGCCTCCCTGGCAGCAGCTCCTGCTCTCTGCTGCTCTAATTAAAGCACAGGCCTCTGGCCTGACTGTGCACCGCAGGCCTGCACAGCTGTCTCCTGTTATCTGTCGCTGTCTCTCTTCCTCCCACCCGCGTATCTTTGCAGTCTGTTTTTCCACAAATTGGCTCCGAGCCTCAGGTGATGGGAAAAACATGCCTGT